GTCATGATGACAGTAAGTAATATTTTACTAGATATTTCTATACTTAAAGTGACATTTAAAGGCTTCACTAGGTTAATTAGGGTAACTAGGCGAGTTAGGGTAATTGGGCAAGTTATTCTATAACTATGGTTTGTTCTGTAGACTATTAAGAAAAAAAATTGATTAAAACTAATAATAATTTTGTTCCTAAAATGGTGTTTAAAAAAATTCTGCATTTTTTCTAGCCGAAATAAAACAAATAAGGCTTTTTCCAGAAGAAAAGATTTTATCAGCCATACAGTGAAAATTCCCTTGCTCTGTTAAACATCATTTTGAAAATATTTTAAAAAGAAGAAAAAAATTTGAAGGAGGCGAATAATTCTGACTTCAACTGTATATATATATATATATTCTCATAATTTTTTAACACCTCAATAGTTATGCGGTGGCACAGAGTTAGACCTCTTGCTTGACTTCACACAGAAACAGCAATGCGTGCAGCATGACATCACTTTGGGCAAAAGAACCTGATAGGGACATCCCTACTATTAATGTTGTTTAATGTTTGTCTTAAGTGTGTGGTGTGATTTACAGTTAAAGTCAGAATTATTAGCCCCCCTGAATTATTAGCGCCCCTGTTTATTTTTTTCCCCAATTTCTGTTTAATGGAGGGAAGATTGTTTCAGCACATTTCTAAACATAATAGTTTTAATAACTCATTTCTAATAACTGATTTATTTTATCTGTGCCGTGATGACAGTAAATAATATTTGACTTGATATTTTTCTAGACACTTCTATACAGCTAAAAGTGACGTTTAAAGGCTTAACTGGGTTAATTAGGTTGACTATGCAGGTTAGGGTAATTAGGCAAGTTATTCTATAACTGTTATTCTATAACAAGTTATTCTATTCTGATGGTTTGTTCTGTATATGGGTGGGGGGGGGGGTAGCTTAAAGGGGCTAATAATTTTGTCCAGAATTTTTTTATTTTTCATTTTTTAAACTGCTTTTATTCTAGCTGAAATAAAACAAATAAGACTTTCTCCAGAAGAAATAATATTATCGGAAATACTGTGAAAATTCCCTTGCCCTGTTAAAAATAATTTAAGAAATATTTAAAAAAGAAAAAAAATCAAAAGGGGGCTAATAATTCTGACTTCAACTGTATGTGTTGTAAATCTATTATGCTGCAGAACAAAATCACCACAAAAAGGGGACAATAAAAATTAACAGTAACACTACTTAATAAAATAGATTAAAATAAATTAATAAAATTTTTACAAATTAATTTAATTAAAAAATAAAAGACTAGTATCATGAAAATATACAGTGCTCAAAATAAATGAGGACAGCCCTGTTGAAAATGAACATTGTTACCCATTTCTCAGTGAGAATAGGTAATATTTTGTTTTTGTTTGATCACCTAACATCTTTAGGAGTAGAAAAAGTATGTATTTGAATGAAAAAAAAATACAAATAACAAAATACAAACTAAATTTGATATTTTTAATGTTTATGTCTTGATTTTTCCTGTTTATTAAAATGGTTGCATGTATTATTAAAAATACATTATGAATTTTTATGAATATTGATTTGGTGTACTGTTATCAAGTTTTTATTTTTATTTTTTTAGATTAGTTCTAGTTCTGTCTTTGGTACTGATTAATCTAGAGTACACTACCGCTCAAATGTAGAGAGCATTTAATTGTATTATATTTCAATTTCTAAATATGTTTAATGTTTAAATTACTATTTTAATAAATATATCTGTTTAATGAATTTGTTGTTTAAATGCATCAAAATAAAATAAGATAAAATAAAATAAAACAAAACAAAATTTTAAAAAATGTAAAACATAAAATGAAATAAAATAAAACAAACAAATAAAATAATATAATAAAATGAAATAAAATATACATAAAATAAAATAAAGCAAAACAAAAAATAAAATAAAATGATAAAATAAAACAAAACAAAATAAAAAAATAAAATAAAATAAAATTTAATAAAAAAATAAAAAATCATAAAATAGAATAAAAATAATAAATAAATGAATAAAGCAAAACAAACAATAAAACAAAACAAGATACAAAACATAAAAAATAAAACAAAAATACAATAAAATAAAACAAAAGAAAAAAGTCAATAAAATAATGAAACAAACAAAAAAAAAATACATAAAATAAAATAAACAGAGTAAAGCTTTTAAGCCCTTCCCCCTCCTTCACAGACATAGCAGTGATGGTTAGCTTTTAGTATCTGATAAGCAGGTCTTTTGGCCCATTGACTTCTACAACCTGTTCGATGGGCTTTTGATGGCTCTCTTGACACCCTGCTGACGAGCGTGTCCAGCTCCAGAGCCTATGGCCGCCTTCCTCACCATTCACAACCTCAATGGCCTTTAATGGCTCTCAGGCTCCTCTCAACCACACCTCATGGGGCAGTTAAGCTGGGGGACGCTCACTTTACTAAACCTCCAACCTAAAACAAACATCAAGAGATAAACAAACAAAGACACACATACACAGGTCTGATCATCAAACTCCCTGAGATTCTGATACAATACCTGTGATTACATTTAATGATTAAATTTGATGGAATACATGTAATTGTCAATATATGTTTGGTACTTTTGAATGTGTTCAGTTTAAATTATTATTAATTTATGCACTATGACTTACAGAAGATACTAAAATAGCAGTATTATGCCATTTATATAGCAAAAAATAAATAAAAATGTTGTGACATGGTGGCTCAGTGGTTAGCACTGTTGCCTCACAGCAAGTAGGTCGTTGGTTTGAGCCCTGGCTGGACCGGTTGGCATTTATGTGTGGAGTTTGCATGTTCCCTCTGTTAATGTGGGTTTTCTCCTGGTGCTCTGGTTTTCCCCAGTCCAAAGACATGCGCTATAGGTGAATTGAATAAGCTAAATTGGCCGTAGTGTGAATGAGTGTGTATGGATGTTTTCCAGAACTCGGTTGCAGATTGAAGGGCATCTTCTGTGTAAAACATATGCTGGAATAGTTGGCGGTTCATTCCGCTGTGGTGACCCTTGATGGATAAAGGGAGTAAGCTGAAGAAAACTGAATAAATCTTGGGAATACTGACTAAGAATCAATTGATGACATATTGAAAATTCTGTCACAATGAAGTTTCAAAAACTATATACTATAGTTTATATACTATAGTTTATATATATATATATATATATATATATGTGTGTGTGTGTGTGTGTGTGTGTGTGTATACACACACACACACATATATATATATATAATTATTATTATTATATATAAAAATAATTATTTTTATATATATGTCATATATGTATTATTTTTTAAAGTTGAAGTCAGAATTATTAGCCCCCTTGAATTATTAGCCCCCTTTCATTTTTACACTTTTATGGTAAAGAATAAGTCCTTTTCCTGGTCTTTAAAGTAAAATATCTCAGCATAAACAAAGGAGGCTGAGAAAAATCCTCATTTTTGATGGAAATTTCAGGCAGCACTTAGAGGTTTTTGTATCTGAACTCTTCATATATTTTATATTATTGAATTGAATTGAATTTCATTGCATTGAGAAAGAGAGAGAGAGAGAGAGAGATTATGGTTTTATTTAATTATTTGATTTATATACATTTAATTTTTTACTACTATTACTATTTACTGTGTTTTTTTTATTATATTCGCATGTTCTTTTTTATGTAAACTTTATAAATGCTTTGGCAATACATTTGTCATGCCAATAAAGCAACTATTGAATTGAATTGAGAGAGAAAGAGAGTAAGGAGACAGACACTCACAGACACGGAGACAGACATACAAACACACATAGAAGACCGACAGACAATCACACACACAGGAGACAGACACACACAAACACACACACACAGACATGCAGGCAGGCAGGCAGGCAGGCAGGCAGGCAGGCAGGCAGGCAGGCAGGCAGGCACACACTGCTAGTTTCTTAAAATTATTTTAAGCTTAATCAAAATGACCAAATAAGTAATTTTAGTTTAGTTAGAATCATTATTTTAACAAGTTTAAAACAGTGTCCACTTACTGATCAAACACACACACACACAAGAAAATACTAATACATTTATTTATAAGTTTATTTATTTATTTACACTAAGGTGACTTGAGCACAGGAACCTCAACATCTCTTGGTTTTTCGGTATATCTAGTATTTCATCCCCTGACATAACCTTTCATATCAGCAGATAAAATTCATATTTATAGAAGAATACAAAGGAGGAAAAAGGAAAGAGAGAAAAAACAAAGACTTTATGAACATACAAAAAGGAGAAATGACATTCATCTATCCCTAATCTCCCAAAAAAGGTTGTTTTAGATTAGCAATAATAAATAATAGCTCCGAAAAGTGGACAAAAAGAAAGTAAAACAGATAAGAAAAGACAAGAACACAAATGTGTGAGCGAGCACTGTGTATTTCTTCATACACAATCATCAACATCATCATCATCATCAGAAGTGCTTTCAGAGGCAGGTCAACCCAAAGTCACAAACACTGCTTTAAAAAAGGGACATTTCGCCCAAATCTCGTATCTCTAATATGACTATGAAGAGGAATGATTTTAAAAAGAGAAATGACATAAAAAGATAGCGAGTGAAAACTCCAGACTCCAGATCTGAGATAAAGAAAAACATTTAAAGCGATGGTCCACCCAAAAAAAAAAAATCGAAATCTGTAATCATTTACTCCATTTGTTCCAAATGTTTGTGCCTTTTGAACACAAGAGAATATATTTTTAAAGTATGCTGTAAACATTTTTATTTTTCTCTAATATGGATGTCTTGAATTTTCAACATTCTTCAAAGTATCTTCTTTTGTGTTCAATGGATGTAAAAGCTAATAAAGGTAAGGAACCATTAATAATTTCATTTTGTGTGAACTATTCCTTAGTCCACTGCCGTATTTACCCAATCATTCATTCATATACCTTCAGTTTCTTCATTTAGCATCAATAAGTTTGTGTGTATTTTCAGTTTGTTCTGAGGGTCTGGACGTCAGCTCAAAAAATAAACAGTCATTTATTTTGTGTCAGTGTGAATATATATGTGGTGCAACAGATTAGCTTCACCCTATGAAGGAATGTTTTTAGGTGTGTTCAGGCTATGGTAAAAGTATCATTGCGTATGTGTGTTTGTGTGTGTGTCCAGGTCACTTGTGATTTTTCTGGGAATGTAAGGTGGAGTCGTCAAACAGCGGGTTTTTCACTTCCATCTCTCCAGTCTGTGGAGAAAACAAAACAACAAGGCCTTGTTTACATCTGGTGTTGAGATGCGGTTTTGTTGATCTGAGTACAAATGGATGATGCTGTAAACAAGTGCGAATGCTGTTTACTTTACATTACTTCCAGAAGAGTTTAAAATGCATCAGATCAGATTGTTTTTGTAGTGTAAACACTTAAATGATTCTGAACAGCCACAAAAGACTCACTTTGCCATCTGATTTTTTAAAAGTTTGCAACCCCGGCTCATTGGAAATATGTGCCCAGGGATACATTTTTTGAGAATCGAGAAATATGTACTGGGGCTATGTCTTCTTGCAGTATTTGTTTTCACAAATCCACTAGAGGGCAGCGTGTACATTTTTGACAATCTCAAGTATATTACTAGGGCAAGTTTTTTTTTTTTTTTTGTATTGGTGCTTTGTGTTTCGGTTTTGTATTTGGGATGTTTGGTGATGTTTTAGTAACATTTTGTGAGGCCAAAGACAAAATTTCACTTGTGTGGACAAAAAAGATTTCTAATTCTAATTCTCATATGTGCCATTTCTAGTAAATCTACCAGAGGGCGCTGTGTATATTTACTGACTGATGTGTATATTTACTGACTGACCCACACAACTCCTTCCCAAAACCCAACCGAACCAAGAGAGAAGAGAAAAGCCATAAGGGCCGCTTGTATCTACTACATCTTTTTTGGGGTTTTGTTTCACCTGTTTTCTGGAACTTCCATTCGCCGGACTTAAACCCAGGTCTGGTCTACTCTACGCCCTAAGTTTAACACCATTCTTCATCTGTGAACCATCAAAAAATCATCTATATGGAATTAAGTTCTTCCCCGTAGCATTTGTTTTACACACAAAATGCATATGTATCCACATGCACATATTTCTCGGTTCCCAAAAATGTATCCCAGGGCAACTTTTCCAAGTGAGCCTGTGTTGCAAGCTTGAGTTGAAGGTGAAATAAAAAATTAAAAGAACAATTTTTTCTTAGCTGATTTGATTCCAACAAAGAGAGATTGGTGCAGTTTTGTGGACTACAGAGCAGTCCACACTGTTTTTCATAGCAAAAACTAGGGTTGCACAATGTATCATCTCAGCATCGATATTGCAGTGTACTCATACACGTAATAGTACTCTAATATTTTTTGACTCTTTTGATAACGATGGAAAGGTGATTGCATTTAATTAAATTAATCTTATTTTATTTACTTATTTTTTTACTTCTGTTTTAAGATTTTTCATTATATTTGAAACAGTTTTTTTGTTTTGTTTTTAATGACCTAAGCTCAAATATTCAGTGTTTTATAGTACATGTGTTTTCTTCACATGAACCATATGAAACTGAAATATGTTGACTTCAAAACAGTGTTATTGTTGTTAAAAGCGCAATAAACCTATGTTGTTACTTAAAAAAAATAATAATAAATACTACATTCAAATTAGTCCAAATAATAAAAACTAAATTACTAAAAATACTGTAATTTGAAAAAAATTTGTCCAAGAAATGCTTAAGATTTTGAGAAAAATGCTTAAAATAAAAAAATCATTTTCTAGAATAGAAATACAGTTGTGTTTTAAGACCTCAGATGAGTTTAGATGTTGTGTTTTGTAGTATTAAAAATAGCATTTTTGCTAAGGAAAACCAATAAAATACAAATAATACAGTAATATTTGTATTTTTTTTGATTTTGTTTAGCAAAGATGCAAGTTTTAATACTACAAAACACAATATCTAAACTTGATATACATATAAGTGTGTGTGTGTATATATATTTATAAATAAATAAAAACACACATGCTGCACATAAAATACACACACACAAAGCAAAAGGAGTCACTTAAAGATGTGTGCATAAGATACTTTTTTTTTTTAAAGAAATGAAAGTAATAATAAATAAATAAATGATAAATTATTTTAATTACATATACAGTGAATGGGTTAATTTAGTCACAAATAAGTGAAAGTAAGAGACGTTTGACGCACCGGTGCGAGTCCAGGGCATTCGTACACAGTAAAATCTCCCTCCTCGGTCTCCTCATCTGAATGACCTCCAGACTCGGAGACTTTAGGCTCTGCTTTATGTCTGTGGTCAAAACAAAACGAATTATAGCAACATTTACAACCAATACAACAAATGTCACCTGCATGCAAAAGTTTAGTCAACAATTCAGTCTTAGACTTTCAGAGCACACCGATATTCATTAACTTTGTCATAACACTTGCATAATCATAACAGAAATGCACACGACACAACACACATTTACATTGAATAAAAACAACCTTTTATCCAATCCAAATACTATTATAAGTCATGAAAAATTACGTTTATGTTTCTAATATTTGGGTATTTAAATCCTCTAAAAACTTGACTTGCTAAGTTAAAATGCATTTTCTTTGTAAATGCATTATGACCATGATTATATATATATAAAAGAAGAAATGGAAGATATATTTAAGTAAAATGAAGCTAAACATACTGTCACAGACTCAGGTAATGGAGCTTAACTTGTACTTTTAGCATGATTTGTATCAAGTGAAGCAGGGGCGGACTGTGACAAAAAATCAGCCCTGGCACTGTAGCCACACCTGCCCACATTATCACACCGACACACCCCCACCCTCGGACACGCACATTCACTACTTTTATTGGTGTACAGATGGTGAAATAATATGAGCAGTACCATATGTAATAGATATTTAATAGATATTTATTTTGTGTTTGGACTTGTGAGGGAAACCGGGAGGAAACCCACGCGAACATGCAAACTCCACACAGAAACAACAACTGACCCTGCCGAAGCTCGAACCTTTGACCTTTTTGCTGTGAGGCGACAGCGCTACCCATTGTGCTGCCCCCTTTCAAGACTATTTCAGTTAATTTTATGCATTTGGCAACGTCTGATTTTAGAGCAATTTTTAAGTTTCTCTGAGCTTTTTAGCACTGCCTTTACGGTCCATCTCTGACAATTAGCTTGTGTTGCACCTACAGTTTGTTTGACATTCTTGCCAGATTTTGATTATGTACGCGTAACCTCTGATTGGGTCGGCCTATCTCTAAACCAGCTAGCCATTGCCGATTGGGCTAATGCTTAACATTTATTATTATTACTATTATCATCATCATCATCATCATAATATTCACATTTAGCAAGAAACAAAAACTACCTGAATGTAAAAGCAATGATTATAAAAAATTTTAAAATAAAAAATAGCATACAGGCCCACATTTAAAAAATGGTCCAGCCCTTCTGGCATTTGCCAGAATTGCCAGATGGCCAGTCCGCCCCTGAAGCGAAGGATGTTTAACTGAATATGAAAAGTATATGAAAGTAGTAGCAAATATCTGTATCCATATATGAAAGTATCCATATAAGAAAGTAGAAGCAAATAAGAAGGAAGGAAATGAGCAAGGAACACTGAGTGTATTTTTACATTTATTATTAGTCAGCATTCAGAGATGTATGCATAATGTTGACTACACTAAATATAAGGGCTTACTTCTCCATAGAGAGCATCTGTTGTTTCTGGTGCTGGTAGTGGTACATCTGAGCGCTGTGAGCCAGGGTTTTATCCCCAGACTAAAACATAGAGAGGTAATTGTTGTAAAGACAAATATTAAAATAATAATTATTTTTTTTTTGTATGTGTGAAGTTGCATTCATGTGAATGCTCTTACAGAAGTATTATTGCGGTTGGCTGCTTCCTGAAACGCCGGATAATCGACCTTCTGAGCCAGACGAGTTTCTCTCTGTAATCTGGAGGAAAAAAGTTTTAGATTTGTTTATAAAACATGGTATTATTCTAGAAAATGTACAAAAAGGATATAAACTGTTCATTTATAATATAAGATAGTAAAGGTCATACTGATACAATTATATGAGAGAAGGGAATATTATACAACAGAGTAAACTAACAAACAAGAGGATATTTAAAAAAAAAAATAAAAAATTACATGATCGATCCATCGATCTGTCTGTCTGTCTGACTATCTATATGTGCATCTATATGAGCACCTGTCCATCTATCTTTATATCTATCTATCCATCCATCTGTCTATCAATATGCCCATCTATCTGTCCATCTAGCTATGCATCCATCCATCTACCTATTTGTCTGTCTGTCTGTCCATCTATGTGGGCATCCATGTCCATCTATATGTCCATCTATCTATATGTCCATCCATCAGTCTGTCTACATGCCCATCTATCTGTCCATCTATTTATCCATCCGTCCATCCATCCATCCATCCGTCTATCAGTCTGTCTGTCTATCTATCTGTCTTTATGTCCATCATATATGTCCATTTGTGTCCATCTATCTGTTTATCCATCCATCCATCCATGCATCTATATGACCATTTAGATGAGCATCAATATGTCCATCTATCTATATGTCCATCCATCCATCTGTCTGTCTATATGCCCATCTATCTCTCCATCCATCCATCCATCCATCCATCCATCGATCCGTCTGTCTATATGTCCATCTAGCTGTCTGTCTGTCTGTCTGTCTGTCTGTCTGTCTGTCCATCCATCATTTATTATTAATAAATGTAACTTAAAATGTAACTTAAAAAAACTTAAACTCTTACAAGTTTCTTAGATCAGACTATTTTTCAATGCATCTTTTCAGAAATAAACACTGGAGGTTTCGAATTAGAAAGGCAATATTTTTTTCTTTAAATAGATATAAATAATAATAATAATAATAATAATAATAATACAAAGAAGCAAAAACATTCCTCTTACCTGACCCAGCAGACGGTAACAAGGATAAGTGCCATCGCCCCCACAATAATGCATAAAGATATCATCACTACAAAAACACAAAATAATAAAAGAGAAAGAGAGAAAGAGAAAACAAGCTATGAGTAGGGTTGTCACACACAGAATATTGCACTTCAACTGCACTTTAATAGGACGACAGCATGTGTATGAAGTGTGTCAATTTGTGGATTGCGGATAACTGAGAGGCGCTTGCGGCGTAACATCAGAAAACTCTAAACATCTTGTGACAGGCATTTCTTCAAAATGTCATCTTTGTCAGAGATTTAGGCCAAGCAAAACAGGGGGAATTTCGAGAAATGATTTTCAAATTGTTTGAGATTTGGAGGGAACCAGGTCAAAGTCTGCTGAAGCGATGAAGATCTGGGACAGTGCTACCTATAGGCAGAGTAGCAAATTGTTTTGTACAGTATGTGTATTTAGGGTCTTAAAATACAAAATAGTAACTTTAAAACTACCACCATGCCTATTTATGACTGTCACAGTCTCTTGAATCATACATTCAACTTCAATTATTATTAAGTCTTATTTTCATCCTTGTTTACTCTACTGAGGTAAATAAACATTTGTATAAAATATCCGTTTTGTGAATTATTGTACTTTCAGCTACAGCGAGGGGAAAATAAGTATTGAACAAGTCATGTTTATTCCTAGTAATAATATTACTAAAGGAGCCGTTAACATGAAACTGAACCAGATTTCGGTAAAAACCCAAATTATAACATAAAAATAAAAAACAACAAAAAAGAGCCTTTTTCGTCAACCAAATCTGATCTTTATTTTGTATTTTCTATTGATTCAAGACAGGTGATTAGTTGGGCCATTCTACAGCTTGATTTACTTTCTCTGAAAGCATTTGAGAGTTTTCTTGGCTGTGTTTTGGATCATTGTCTTGCTGAAATGTCCACCCTGGTTTCATCTTCATCATCCTGCTAATATAGATGTTGGACTGAAGCAGCTAATATTCATTATAATGAGAACGGGTTGCTGAATAACAACTGAGAGATTTTGGCTGCTGTCTGGGCTTTCACTGCCTTTTTAAACCTCCCTTTCTTCATGTGTTCAATACTTCTCTCTGTCTCATTTCTTTTTATTATACAGAACTTCATTTGTAAACTAATTAGATTAGTTTCTTTGCATATACGGATATATTTGATTGTTATCAACATCTTGTGAAAATTTGAAGTTAACAGCACCTTTAGAAATATGTTTTCTGAGGAAAAAAGGAGGCGTGTTCAATACTTATTTTCCCAGCTGTATAAAAAATACATTTTTCATTTGTCCCTCCGTTCTGGACACATCAGTTTTAAAAAAAGGCACAATCTTCAAATCGCAGATAGACATAGCATGTGACTTGCTCCATGTGATGTCACTTATTCTGGCGGGAAACTCTGAAAGACATTGAGGGATGTCATTATTCTCTTATTAATTTGATTGTTTTGCATACACTAATAGCAGATTAATTATTTATCTGTTATTGTGATATTTCAGTGAATCCTCTCGTTCCCCTTCTAAAAACCATAATTTGCTAAAAATACATACAATTCTGTTTTGAACATCCAATGTAGCATTTGATTTGAGGTTAGCATCTTGAGCTAACCACGAGGAGCAGCAAAATACTGTGCTTGTTGTATTACCACTCACCTTATGAGTTATTATTATATTTAGAAACCTATTATGTCACCATTGTAAAGTGTTAATTAAATAAAAGACAAAAACGCTTTTCTGTAGCTGTCAGTTTGTCGCTTTTGATGGCTCTGAAGTGAATACATTCACCAAGAATATCCTTTTTCCTTCAGCATGAACAGAATGCTAGTTCAGAGCTAGTGCTATTACTGGTTCTTAGCCTCTAACTGGTTTACATTTCCACATGCTAAAATGGGTGTAAAGTCACATGGGTGTAAAGTATTGGTAACTAAATATAAATAGTTACAATACCTTAGTATATATCTGGCTACTTTATAATTGTACTATCAAAGATAATAGCATCTTTTACTTTTACTTCACTATATTTTTGAAGTAAATGTCATTTTTCTTCTTTGAATGACACCTTTTTGCACCAAAACGTAGGCTGCTGTTGTGTGAATAAGGTGATGCATTAGCAGCAAAAGTGTATATCATACATGAGATGAGGAACTTACACTTGATAAGACTAGATGACCATTAGATGACCTTAATAAAGCACTACCATTTTCTACAGAGCTCCAATCCAACTGAAATGTAACAATGGTTGAGTTTTTTTTTTTCTCTTAAGCTGCCTTTGTGCACTGCAAAGTATATTACAGTCAAACATGTGACATGTCTTTAAATGGCTGCAGTGACTGATTCAAAACCAGCATGCAGCCTTTTGACTACACTGTAAAAATATCTGTTTCAATATTTTGGATTCATGTTTTTATTTTTCCCTATTTATTTATGCTTTTGAATTGCAATATTGGACCATTAGCTGTCTTCTAACAACTTTATTGACATTTGTAATAATTTAAAGTGTTGTATTGTCTGGGTTGGTGTTGTATATCACTTATATAACATTTTTAATCGTTTAAAGCAGGGGTGCCCAAACTTTTCCTTACAAAAGACCAAAAACCAAACTTGATTGAGGCTAGTGGGTTACAGGTAAATATAGTTGCCACAGGTAAATTCCTAATTTATTTAATAATATCTCAAAATGACTAGAAAACATTACTTTATATTAACTAATACAGTTACGGTATATTACAGTTTTTACATTTTATAGTGAACTTATTACAGTAAAAACAAAACAATCTCATTTATAACAGAATTACACTAGCTTTTGCCTTGATTTGCTCACTAATGTCTTCTGCATAGTCTTCTGTCTGTTGAATGTCAGTATTTATATATTTTAAAAAATCTGATTAATTTAATTCATTTATTCATTTTCTTTTCATTTAGCTTTTTTTGTAGCTCAGCAATAAAACTAACATTTTAAAGCTGCAAGCAGCGATGAAAGGGACCTCAACTAACAAAAAATGTCACATCAAATTAGAAACTATGATCTCTATGTTTAAAGGCATTCACCACAACTCTCTCCATCATTCTCACTATTATATAAATTGGGATAGTGGGCCAAATCAAAGGTTACAATGGGCCAACTTTGGCCAGTGGGCACTACTTTGGGCATCTCTGGTTTAAAGTGATATATTGTCTGGGTTATTGTTGTATATTATAGTACAAAGACCTTGTAATAAACTGCCAGTATATGTTCTGTTATTTTACAGAATTGTATATTTCTCTATATATTATTTATTTATACTTGATATCATATAAAAATACTAATGTCAATAAAAGTCACTTTATTAAACTAAAGATTTGAATTTTCAGTATCAAATGTCGACAGAGCAGAGATAAACGTCTCACATTGCAATTCACAACCGCAAATAAATGAAAAACACTTGTGTATCACAAAATACAGAAGCTGTTCATTAACAGATATTTTTTACAGTGTAGTAGGCTTTAGTCTCCTTCACACATACAGATTTTTCCAGTAAATTACCTGCAATTTTTGGAAAAGGGGTCATGTGTGAACAGGCCCTTTTTGTAAATACCGGTACATTCGTTCCGACAATTTTCCGAAAAGAAAAGTTGTAAAATTACAGATAATTTGCCGGAATTCTGTCTGAACGCAGAAGGAAAATTGCCGGAAAGAATGCGTTCATGTCTAGAACGCCTACTCCAGCCAATCAGATGAATTCACATCCACGCTGTTTATAAATGACTATATATCCTTCTCCAGACACATTTAGCTGCTGCTTGTCAGTCAGATAACATTTCTATGTTCCTTCACAGCGCCAACTGTAGAAAAATTGATGGATAAAATGCTTATGATAAACCGCGGTGAGTTTACCTGCCAGCTCTCTGTGAGGCACGTGCACGTGAAGGAGCACTCCTTTGAGTGAGATCTGAGTAACGTTAGCCTACAACACTGGTAGTCTTTCCTTTTAAAAGTATCTCAAACGAACCTGAAGCGCAAACTCGAATGTACATCTCGACATGCAAAAGTGTTCTTCCATATCTTTTCAGTGATGTTGTTCACAATATCCACCAAAATGTGTAATGTCGTGTAAACAAAGCTGTTTTTTTTAGCTGCGGTAAGCATCTTTGCTTTCGAATATTAACATCAGCGGATTTTTTCATAATTATTTGGTCTGTCTCTTGGGCAAAAACAGCTACATGAATGCTAAAGTTTTAGATAAAAGTGAAACCATCAAGAAAAAGACGGACGCCCTTCATGTTTAATACATATGTGGCTTTTAGAGCTTATTTTTGATTAATGATGTCAGAATTTCCCTGTATTTTGAAAGAGATGTGTGAATAGTCCTTTCCGGAAAAATTCCAGAACGTCCTTGCCTGTGTGAACTGAGCTTTTTTAAATTTACCGGTGAAGTCGTTTCAGTAATTTTGCAGATGTTTTATTAATTATTGTTTACATTTATTTTAATTATCTGGTATCACTGTGTGAAAGGGGCTTTTTTGTTTGAAAACACATTTTATTAAATCTTCCAAAAAAAGTGTTTAGCTTTTAACACCTTTTACGTGACATTACTTCTTTTTGACGGGTTAAAATAAAATACAAAAATGACAAAATCCACTATTTCACTCTTATGCTATTCAGGAGCCATGTACACCCACTCACAAGTAAAGCTGCTTATCTCTCTCTTTCTGGGCTGTTGCTTTGGTGCTGATATTGAGATGCACTGGCCAATGTTTGTGTCCATGCATGACTGACCAATCGTGGTATGCAACAATGCATGGCAAATATTCTCATGAGTGTCTCCCAAAATATTCCACAACCTATTCATTTAATATACACTCACCGGCCACTTTATTAGGTTCACCTGTCCAACTGCTCATTAACACAAATTTTTCATCAGACAATTACATGGCAACCTTGGGGCGAATGGGATACAACAGCAGAAGACCACAACGGGTGCCACTCCTGTCAGCTAAGAACAGGAAACAGACTACAATTTGCACAGATGCCCAATATTGGAAATTGTTTACCATGATTGGAAAAACATCATTAAGAAAGTCAGACATCTAATATATGAACTTAGTTTATGTAATTACAGCAGAACAAAAAATATAGCTAGTTCTGCTTCCAGTGAGATTAACATGGAGCTACACAGTAAATATATTATCTGTAATATACTTCATACTTTTTTATAATGTAATATTTCTGGGAAAGTCAATGTATTCACTTTAGTCAGTTATTCACTGTATATAATAAGGAAACTCACTGTTAATCAGATAACAGATTTAGCATTTTTACATTTTTAACTTTTAAAGAGCCCCTATTTTCAATGATTAACTGATATATTTTGGTTTTGGGAGTCTCCAGCAACAGGCTAATAATGGGTAATTCTGACATGATATTAGCATTACAGTTCAGTATTTAATGCTAACTTACTTTGTTTTGGTCAGCTGGTTTCGAAGTGATAGGCAGCATTTTCTGCTTTATTTGTTTTTGTCCTAACTAAATTTCAACTGGAATGGTGCTTCTACAGTTTTGGTGGAAACCACTTTTCCTGGGGTGCGCTTTTTTTGTTAGCCAACTAAGGTTGCATGTTGTGTCGTTACAAAAATAGTTTGTTGATTTGGCATTTCCCAAATCCATCATTCAAACGAACATTCGCAAACATCTATGCTTGCAACTACACCTCTGGATCTGTAGTTAGAAACACAGTTCCTGGCTGTGTTCTATTTACAGTTATCCCCCCTATGCCCTATTCGTTTAGAACATTCTAACATTTAAACTTGGAATTATTAAAAAAACATTAAAGTCATCACTCTTAGGTGTAATTTGCTTTCAATAAGATTTTAAAGTTCAATTTTAGTGATCTTCATGTTTACAGTTGTGCTGCCTTTGCAGTGCACTTTGAAAACATTAATGTCATTTTGAACACTTCTGCGCGCAGAAGGCGGGCCTAACTCGTTATTAAAGCTATAGGTGACCTATTATTCAAAAGCGGAATTTACATTGCGTCTCCAAAGCTTGTGAAAACCAAAAACATAGCATACACTAATGCTTTTAAATTATATTAGGTTATTTATTAAGTATCTGTACTGTATATGACATGAGCCTGTTGGTTAGAACTTTCTGCATTGGCTTGCATGTGTCAAATTTTAAAAGTAGACATCAAAAAAATAAAAACAATATCCTACTTAAAAAATAATAATAATAATTATCGTCCTTATCATCATCATCATCATGATCATCCTCACAACACTAATCATCACTAATATTATTATTTAAAGAATGATATTTTTTTATTTCCTAATAAATAATAAATATTAAATTTCTTTTTTTAAATAAATAGCTTCAATATTTATTTATTTATTCAAAAGTTTTATATATGAGCTTAGAATACGTGTTAGCTTTGTAAGTGATTTTATGTTAATTTAGAATAGACTATGAATATTCTCAATAATATTTGTAAAGGAAACATAGGCCCTATATGTGCAATTTACATATATATTTCAATTAATATGGAAAGCGAGTGGATGTTTTTACCAAAACTAATACTGAATTTTAAAAAATGCGTGTAGAAATTAGTTACTCCACCCCGTTTAGAGCATTATTATGGGCGTTTTACATTTTCACTAACATGTTTCAAACGATGAATCTGTGACAGAGAAACTACAGGTTTTGGGAAACATTCGTCACTACATCGTTCTTTTCCCGAACAACGCATCCTACTATGATAGTTCAGCCGCAAGTTACATCGTTGTTTGGGAAACTCACCCCTTGTTAAGATCTGGTGCTTTGGGATGTAAAACATTTGAAACTAGACTCTGAACCATCAGCGCTCAAACTGCCTTGGTGGAAAAGGGCTATAAAATATGGCTTATTATCATGGTCATTATACTATGGTTTTGGTAAATTGAGAAAAGCAGACGTACAGACTAGCAGGCTGTCCCTGGATGGATTTGGGGAGATGACTGGCCCGTGGCGGTTGGAGGAGTTTGTAGTGTGTGTTGGTGCTGTAGGACTGGTGGTCATTGGTTCAACAGTTGTGGTTTTATGAAGACTTTTCTGCTTCAACTGTACTTGCGGAGGAGACTGTGGTGCAGAGTCTGAAGAGGAGGGGAAGAGACAGTGAGAGAAAAGACAAAAAAATAAATTTAATAAATAAGAACAAGCACCTCATTTCATTTTTAAATAAATACAGTAAAAAAATTACAAGAACTCTTGATTCATGACTTAGAATTCATGTTTTTGTAGTGGTTTTCTTGTGATACAAGACTTCTTAACATTTTAAATTGTTTTCGCAAATGAAAACACTACAAAATGCAACATATTTTATAAATGTTTTTGACAATACAGCAAAACACCCCAAAATTTGTCAGAAACAACTACTGAATTTTATTATAAATTCACAAAATCTAAACAAATAGATGTATATATGGTTTAGACCTTCTATTTATCGAACACAGTTCATTTCTTATCTTTCATTCTTGTTTGCAGTGTCTTTCCACTGTTAAAAAAGCGGCAAAGGTTTCAGCAATCGTTATTTGTCATGTTTAAGAAGTTCAGCATATTCAGTGTGAAACTTCACACATCACGATGCAGTGGAGCGTTCGCAAGGGTTTTTTTTGAGTCATGACCGCTATAACCGCTGTCCAACACCACTAACCAAAACCACACAGCTCTGAAGAGTGAATGGTTCAAACCTGAGTGCTTGCTTTCCGACAACTGCTGCTTGGTGATGACGGAGGACAGAAAGTCGATTTCTTCATCTATGCCAGAAAGTGGGGCCACTGGATCTGTGGAGAAAAGACAGGATATGGTGAAAAAAAATAACAGCGTCGTGGATGGTGCTAAAAATACTACGAGATTACTGTCATTGAACGTGCACAAAAGGTTAAAATGTCAAGAGTTGAAAGGTCACTTCACACTGAGATGAAAATTCTGTCATCATTCACTCACCATAATTACTTTCCAAAGAAGAATTTTGTTTAACATTCGAACAGAAACAAAGTCTAAATTCAGTCAGTTGTTCAAAACTGAGAGGTCTGTTCATCCTAAACTGTGACAATTAAAAACATTCCTATTATGAACATAAAATATGGATAGAACATTTTGAGGGATGTAAAAACAATAACAATGGTCCTAAAGTGTTTCCTTTTTTACATTTTTCATTACCATAGCTTCTGAGACTCCAAAAATGCCCTGATATTGATAAATAACATTAAGATGGCTGTTTTAACGTAGAGTTATGATTGAATTGCATCTTGTGACAGTTATGAAATAGTTTGGCAACAAGCAAGAAATGTTCAAGGGCCAATGACATGACCACATTAAAATGGTTTATATATGAATTGAAAAGTTAAATGCAAGACACGTCTTCAGAAGAGACATAATCCTATCATATAGTGATTTACATACAAACATTGATCATCAATGTTTACAAAAATGGTCTCAAACTCAATTCTTGGAGGGCCACAGCTCTGCACAGTTTTGCTCCAACCCTAATCGAACACAGCTGATCCAACTAATCAAGGTTTTCAACACTACTAGAGACTATTGGAAACTACTGGTTTACAACATTCAAGTTTAGTCACAGAAGCTCAAACATTTAATCTTTTGATGCATGAAAACCAATTAGATTCATGCTTGCAAGTAATGTGGCACTTTTGAAATGTTAAAAAAAAACAATAAGATTCAATCTTCCAAGTGATGTGGCACTTTTGACATTCCACAAGAACCAATGACACTCATTCTCGCAAGTGATGTAGCACTTTAGAGATTTTAAAACACCCAGTGAGATTCAGTCTTACGAGTAATGTGGCACTTTCGTGATTCCACATGAACCAATGAGATTCATTCTTAAGGGTTTTGTGGCACTTATGAGATTGCACAAGAACCAAACAAATTCATTCTTACACATAATGTGGTACTTTTGCCATTCCATAGGAACCAGTGAGATTTGGAGCTCTATTTTGACGATCCATACGCAAAGTATGAAGCGCAGGGCGCAAATGCATTAAGGGTGAGTCAGAATCCACTTTTGCTATTTTAAGGATGGAAAAATCCACTTTGCGTCGTGGCCCATGGTCTTACAGGGTTGAGCTTATTCTCTTAATGAGTTATAGGTGTGTTTTAAGAATAAGCCAATCAGAAGCTGCGTCCCAAATCGCATACTTATGCACTATTCTACGCCATTTTGTAGTATAAATAGAATAAGTAGTGTGTTCACACTGAAAACTCTAAAAATAATAAGTGCACTTTAATTACCCGGATGATGCACTCATTCAGCCGCTAAAATGAAGTGTGTAATGATGGACACTTCACGCACTCAATGACCACAGGTTTGCTTACGTAGCGGAAGGGGCGGAGCTATCAGACGCACATGTTGAATAACTTTATTTATTTTTGATGGTGAAAGCAAAATTCTCCTACGAGAGTGATTTTAGCGCCTCCCGATGGTGAATGCAGCAATACTCACGGCAGGTATTATTTGATAATTCGGTCGTTTATTTCAATGATTTGGCGACCGTCAAACGTCATCAGGGAAACGGTTTGAATTTCCGCTTAGTAAAAACACATTAGTGTGCTATTTGGGACGACACTACATACATATACTATCCTGTTGAGTGTGTAAGTGCATAAGTACATAGTGCATGAGTGCATAGAACATCTGCAGCGCGAGAATGAGAGATGAGACTCCTCATTGTTTACTTTAACTTTCACTCTCGTGGATAAGGAAACATGTTGTATGCACAGACATCTATTAGCCTATACATAATTAATTTAGTTTGTTAAGCGCAAAGATTCGTTTCAAAACAATTTCTAATTTCAGTTCTAATTTCCAGCAAAGGAATAAATGAACAATAATAATGAAGTGTGGTCAAAAACCGGAGTTATATCCAAATACACATGCTGTGCCCCATATGGTCTAAAACCTGACAGGTGGACAAATCTAAGCTTCTTTTTAATAAAACAAATATAAATATGCATATAATAAATAATACTGCTAATTATAATAACATTATTTAAAAGCAAATTGTTATGAATAAACTGAAAAAGCCCCCCTGAGATGAAGAAGGCATGAAAGTATGGTTTTTATACTTATGTAGGCTAGAAAATAATAATTTTTGTAATATTTTAATCTTTTAATTCTTTTTCATGTGTAAAGATATTTGCGTATTGCTGTACACCCTGTGTGTATTAAGCAGTGTGTAAGCAAGGCGACAACTAACGTGCTCTGCGCTGGACAATAGACCGGCTTTGATCTGGTCTATTGAACCGTCTAGTTAAGTTCCTCAAAATAGCAATGCGCCAGCAATGCGCCTCAACACGCCTCCTTTTTTAGATCAGAATGCCTATGGGCGCACATGAGGGCAAATGCATTTGCTATTTAAACAGCATGGTGCAGAACGTCAAAACGAGTCTTGCGCCGTGCTGAACTAGCCAAAAACAATTGCGTCACGCCTTGCGCCAAATTGCTCCAGGTGTATGATAGGACCCTTCTTTTCTCATGCCAAGCAAGTATAGATGGTTGAGCTTCTGTTTATGTTTGCTGAGAAATGTTAAAACAGAGACCACTTTAAAGTTATAATCAGCTCTCTTGATTTCCCATTAATATGTATGTGTTTTGACTACAATGTTCATTTGTGCTTTACTGATGACATGCTCAATTTCAAAATAAGATTATTATTATTTAGAGCACTTAAATGCATGTATAAACAATTCCATGTCTTGAGACATTAGGGGTAAGTATTGCAAATTTCTGCAAATAAATGCCCCAAACAATATTATTCTTATTTAAAATAACCTATTACATTTTAATGACTAATCCAAAGAAATGATAATAGCTTTAAAGTGGTCTGTTACTTTGTTTGAAAGCTGGTTATATTTCATAAAACATGGATTAAACCGATTAATTCATACATATTATTTTCCTGAAGGAATCTCTTAATGCATCATCTGAGTTTTGGGCAAACACATTCTCAAAAGTGTGATGGAAGAATCTCTCAAACATGATTGAACACATTTGCATTTACGTTTCAAAGATATTGCAAAATATTTATGGTATTGGAATGACATGATAGTGAATAAACGTGGCAGATTTTTCATTTTGAAGAGAACTTGCAAGTAATAACTGCAAAGAGAGTAAATTGTGTAAATCCACAAACCCTCCAGTTTCTAATGTGCTGAAGTGTGCTGACTGGGCTGTGTGTGTCCTGACAGTGAGAGTGTGCCAGGCTGTTGTTTGTTTGACACGCTCTAAAAGCAACACAAAGGCAGCACATGGTTTAATGGTTCTCTTGTCCAGACAGTAATCTGCATTCCAAGACTATGGAGAATCGTCCTCCTCGGCAACGGTCTGAGTGTGTGTGGGTGTGTTTGTGTGTGAGTGTATGTGTGGTCGATGGGATGCTCGTTATCTTTCACGCACCAGAGAACAACACACACACTCACTGAATGTTCAGAATAAACTGTGATTGTTGAATCAGTGAATCATAACGCTAAATCAAAAGACTCAAGGAATCATAAAAAGGAATCAATCAGTGTTGACATTTTTAATAAAAGTTACTGCTACAATATTTTTAACCTAGCACTCCTGTAATCATTCATTCATTTTCTGATTCCTTTTATTAATATGGAGTCACCACAGCGGAATGAACCGCCAACTTATTCAGCATATGTTTAACGCATAAATGCCCTTCTAGCTGCAACCCATCACTGGGAAACACGTCTGTAATCAATGTAATGATAATTCAATAAAAAAGTATGTAGTAACAAGCATAACATTTTATAAACAATATTTAGTCTTAGTATTTAGCTTTATAATAGCTCTAATTTCATAAATATTCAATACATTACTCAGCACCGGTTAGCCAATATCAACAAACTCATTGTCATCCAGGCCTAGTTGCTTAAGTATTAGTAGACAACATAATGTACTTAAAATATTGATATGAATTATATCGACCATTTATAGGATGTGTGTGTTGATATTGTTAACATAATTTAGCATTGATGACTGGCCTGGTTGTGATTATGTTATTAATATTTATCTGCCATTGTTAATATGATAATAGTATATATGTATGCATGTATGTATAGTGGTGTAACACATCACAAATCTCATGGTTTGGATCACATTATGGTTTTTTAGTCACGTATCAGACCATTTTTCGGATCAGCCATAAAGAGGAGGAAACAAATGTAATTTGCTTTCCTTTTATTACCAAAACAGAACTGTTTAACAGACAGATCTTAGAACCTGTAATTTTATTAACAAATATAATGATGAAATAATCAGCTGAATAAAAATACATTTTTCTGAATAAAATTTTCAATTTACTATCATTTATAATTTATGTTGTGTGGGTGTTGAAATCCTGATCTTTTAATAATTAATCGTGCAGCTTACAGTCAATGCATAAATGCAGGCTAAACAAGTAGTGACAGTAAACACCTTTAATACTCTAAGAAACCCACCACATCCCGAATAACCTACCACAACTTTTTCTGTCATCATTCTATTTTACAGGAAAACCTAAATGCTTTCATACATGTCATTTGAATAACATGAAAGGTAATCTTTCTGCGATCTTTACAAATTTGGTAAGGTAAAAAAACAAAAAACGGATTAATATATATCCCTAATTATATATTTATATATATATATATATATATATATATATATATATATATATATATATATATATATATATATATATATATATATATATATATATATATATATATATATATATATATATATAGACACACACACACACATACACTTTATATA